CTACGTGCCACATTCACCCTTTCACACACATTCACACAGTGATGGCAAAGTCCATCGAACAGAAACTAATTCATTCACACACATTCACACACCGATGCATCGGGAGCAATTTGGGGTTCAGTATCTTGCTCAAGGATACTTCGACATGTGGCAGGAGGAGCCGGGGATCGAACCAACAACCTTCTGATTGGATTGGGGGACGACCCGCTCTGCCTCTGAGCCACAGCCGCCCTGTGGATATCTTTACATGGTTTGACTTGAGAAAGCTGTGTAGCTCGCCGGCATACAGCCCTGTGTTGATTACCTGATTTGTGTTGAACAAGGTGGAGGCAACGTCCTGTCACCATGGTTGAAGGCTCAGCTTGTCCATTGTATCCCCTATAAAATATTTAAATGAGATGTGTGGAAATGGTACAGATTAGAAAGTGAAAAACAGGGAGATGAGGTCTGTGATGCACTAAATAAAAGTGTTTCTGAACTAAATGTAAAGTAGTTCAAGTATGTTTTTAGTGCCATTTTAAAATTAGGAAGTATATTTTTCGGTATTATCGTGATTTATATTATCTCTATAATACTTTGCATAACACACTATTAAGTTGCACTTGTTATTATTTGATTTATGCCCTGATTTAACCTGAATATTAAAGTTAGAACTGAAATAAAGTTGCACAATTAATGGAAATGTTCTCAAAATCGTAATATTAAAATCAGAATCAGAATTATATTTGTTGCCAAGTAGGTTTTTACACCTACGAGGGATGTGTCCTGGTGCATTTGGTGCATAAAATATACAAATACAAATATACAAATATACAAATCACACAAGAATCACACAGAAAAATGAAGTACTTTCAAAATATGAATAAATAAAGATAAGAAAAGAAAAACTGCAGAAGACGGGAGTGCGTTAATGTAATGTCACAGAAGCTGCAGTTTTTTAATAAAGGTAAAATATGTGACACAACAGCATTATAATGAAGTGTTCTAGTACTGTGTGTAACTTCAAACTTAGCCTAGTTATAACGTAAATTATTACTAAGTTACTAAAATAAAAGTGGCTGCAGCCCCCAGGGTGGGTGTAAATCACAGATGTCACAGAATTATACTCACTAATGGTAAAACAGCAGTTTTTTTTCTGCCACGCAGCATCATTTTTTCATTAATTGTAGCCATTTTGCAACACAGTAATCCAGTAGAGACCTAATTTATTGATATGATTGAATTAATGTCCCAGATTTAGTTACATACTAACTAGTAGTTACTCAGCCTTTAGTGTCAAACTAGAACTTACACAGCTGGTGCAACAATGGCCAATTTTCTCTATAGCCTGACATTTTATATTTTAAGGAATTAATTGATTACTGTAATCCAGTAAAAGTCAGCTGATTCTCAAGTGAAACTAATGATTAACCGCAGCTCTTACTAAAGGTCAGTTTGATTAAAGGTGATGATGAATGTAAAAAGCACTCACTCATTGTTTTTGTTCCATGTGCGTCGTGTAGATCAACGGAACGAAGCTCGAGAATCTGACACATAGAGATGCAGTGGAGTTGTTCAGGACAGCAGGGGAGGACGTAGAGCTCCGTGTCCTGAAAAAGGTGGGTGGCCTTTAAAATGACCTCTTCCTAGTACTTTACCGTCCACCAGCATGGGAACTTGTCTTTAGCTCACCAAAAACATAAAAGCAGCATGAGAACACGTAACATTTAAAACAAATATGGCAACAAAACACAAATAAAGTACAAATCACAGCACAGTAGTAAAAGAAATACAACAAAAGTATGTGTTGATTGCCGATGCCCATGATGTCTCTAACTGTGAAAATGAAGGGCGCTCATAGCTTTATCTCTCCCTCTGACTGTATACAAGTTACAAATCGTAAAGCTGAAGACAAACTCACTCTGCAGCCATCCAAAGCAGCATCGAACCATTAATAACCAAATGTTATCTTCCATCCTGTGAGAACAACGGCCTAAACAATAGCTACACATTGCTGACGATGTGAAACAGCGCTTCTGTTCTTACTCCCTGAAGGTGAATGTTTCATTTTATAAAAGTGTAATTATCTTTTATGGTGTTCGCGGAGGTGGTCTACCCTGGGAATCCCTGAGAAACCATGTAAGGTAACACCAGTGAACTATGTCCTGTTCAGAATAAGAGGTAATGTCAGGGCAACATCCAGTTCCACCTTTTATTCCACTGTGCTTCTTCCGACCAACGGCGCTCTGCAGCAACATTTCCTCAAGAAAGGAAATCCTGATATTTGTTCACAGCTGCCACACTCTGAGCAAATATATTTACCACTAAGACTACAGAGATGAAAGAGTTTTATGACTCTTTGACTGTCAAAACATTAAAACATCATTTTTTAATGGTTGTATAAGCTTTCAGATGACATTAATGCTACTTGTGCTTCACTCGTGTGTACCACCAGAAGAATGTATCTTTACCCATAAATCTTCCTTTAGTTTGGTGGAATGAATGAAACACTTGTTGGCAGCTGGTTTGGCGAGTCCAGCCTCACTTTTGCTTTTGAGGATTGGGTTTCACTATTAGACATCCCAGTTGTTTTACAAGTCTTAGGCTTTTAAGTGTTGCACTCTTTGTGTTCACATGTGTACAAAACTACACATAAATGCCCAAAAGTGTGCGTCATTCTGCCCATTTGAACACAAAGTGGTTTGATAACACTGCGTACAGACTAGTTCATTTTGAGTATCCCTAGGCCTTTAGACCATTACAGTCATTATGTATGAAACCAGTCTTTTTCTTTCAGAATGGTAACATCAAGTAATTTCATCACCTCTCAGGAGATTCCTTGAAACTGAAACTGCGTCTAACACCAGAGCGTTATTTAAGCAAACAGAGTGGATGACTGCACTCTGTCCACATTTGTGATGTAAACAGATGCATTTCTACGTAAATATCGCCTCCAGTGCAGCTTTAGTATTTAATCTTGATATTTTTATTGAGGTTCTGGCAACAATTACTACTACTACTACTACTACTACTATCTACTCCAGTTCCAAATTTGTATACATAAAAAAAACATAATACACAACATGACAGAAAACACACCCAATTTTAATAAATCCCTCAGTAAAGACATTCAGACGGGCATTCTTCGTGAACTTACTGTACTACCAACACTACTGTTGGAGCGGCTGATAACTTCACAGGTTACTAGACATTGTTGTAAAAAGTAACATTACAAAGAAAGTAAAGAGAAAAGTAGAAAATTATACACTTCTTAGGACGGCTTGCATTCAAACGTGTGCATATCGTAGACAGACGCCACTGCAGTAATGGCGACTTGCTTACTTCCGTTACTTCCCTGGATTTGTGTATATACAAGAGTGTCCCTATGAGTTTAGTGTTGCAGTTGGTTCTTGCACTGTATGGTTTTGCTGCCAAAACACACAGAAGAGGTGATAACTCCAAATACTATCTCATATGTACTCTTGTGTTTTTTCTATCTGTCTTGCAGTTTGCCCATCACATGAACGGACCCACAGACTCACAACCCAAGCACGAACCTTCTGTGTCTTCTCTGGGAGTACTGGTTGCTTTAGCGGGAGCCGCAGCCATCTGTGCGTTCTTTTACATGCGGCACCTGAGGAAGCACTTTTAACTAAGTCGGCGTCTGTATATTATTTTTAGGATCAAAAACGTTGCTAAAGGCCAAAGAGGGAACAAACTCAAAAACATTAGACGTTATTATTTTTTTTTTCTGATTAGTGCGTGTTGGTGTCACTGATGAGTTTCTCCATGTTCATGTGTATAATGTGATTAATGGTAGCTTCTTGACACCCTTTCCTATGCAAAAGGATGCTCTCTTTCCACAGAGATTACTTTTAATAGGTAACTTTGTGATCGTGAGGAGAAGAATGTACACACGACATTCCTGCTGGTGAGCTGAGCTGGGCTTGAGCTCCGGCAGAAACAAACAAAGCTGCTCGTACACGTCGGCAGAAAAATGATTAAATCCGCGAGTCACATCAGACTGACTCGAGCTTCAGGGTCCATTTACAAACTGAAAGACAGTGTTGTGTGCAGTCACTCGTAGGCCTCCCCGTACCTCCGCTGAATGGCAGATCTGTCTGAGGGGGCGGTATGAGAGGAACCCACTGTACTTTCAGTTTTACAGTGTTCAAAATTCACACGACTGGGTTTGATTTTCATTTTGCACCGTTGCACAGAATCATGAGAGGAGCGGCTTCCTGCTGCCTGCAGTTAAGGAGATAAATTGTGTAATGGACTTTAGAGTGCCTTTTGTGTCTATTCCAAGCGACGGTGGTACGTTGCTCCTTATCGTGATCAAAGTGAAAATCGACCCTCTACGTCCATTAATACATTAAATTAAAGGATGTGGCTGCCGATATCTTTTCTTAATGTCAACACGTCCCGTAAACCGGCTCAAACCAACAATGACTTAGTCCATCTCTCAATACTGTCCGACTTCCTCAGCCTGTTTCACCCTCACCCAAGACTTTATTTCTAAAAATGCCTCTCAGTTCCTGAAACAGCTCGGCACTGTAGGTTTTAGCAAACAGTACTTACACAGGAGGAAATGGTTTATTTGTCAGGGACTATTTTCAGCTGCGGATTAATACACATTCGGTGTTTCCAGCAGAGAAGTGGTATAGTGGTAATTAAGAAACATGTAACCCAGTGCAAACAGTAGGGCTCATTGATGTGTTTTTATTAGTTTGACACAGAGGGATCAGGTATAGCAGATAATAGTTGTTAGTAAAAATATTCATTGTTGGTTTTGGTCTTTTAATGGGATTTGTTGACAGTAAGAAAAATGCAGATTGTCACCAGACTCATCCCTTTAAAGTAAAATACACTAAAAGTTCAAAGTATCACCAAGTAGTTTCATTAACAACAACAAGAGTTTATTACAGTGTGTCACATGGTCACTCAGGGTGAGCCATTAAATCTCTATCATACAAACAAATCATTCCTTAAATAAATATAAATAAATCTCATGTGGTGAGCAGCTCATTGATGCTCATTCACAGCTGAAGACTCAGAGAGACGGAGCCATGTTTGTGTTTGTGTGTCACTGCCATTTAAGACATTCTTCTGATTTAGTGCTGACGCCGGTGCTCGTAATCACATCGCACCTTCTGCTACGTGATTTGTCTTATACATGAAATATGAAGCATGTTGTGATAGAGGACACAAGTTGTTCATTTATGTGAAGGATCAACAGCTTAAATGAAAAGCAGCTTGAGATGGTTGACTTTACAGGAGAGGGTTGTGTTGTTTTTTTAAGTTGTCAACAACTTAAAATGTTTGTTTTCTTTGCACTAGCCACAATCATGGAACTCCTCCAGTAACGGCCATAGAGCAGATGAATAAGTGAATTGTTGCTGGGTGTATTTGTCCACATTTGTCAGTCTGCAGTGCATCTATCAAGCAATTGTCTCTGACTGTATGTGACTCTTGTTGTCTGTAAATACGTTTCAAGTCGCTCTGCTGAGTGGGATTGTGAATATGTGCAGTTATGCCAGAAAAGTTGATCAGAAGCACTAATAAATTATGCAAATACTGTGTGTTTTACATCCAAACACCTACTGTATTAAAATTCATGTTGAATTCGCCTGTTTTTGTTTTGTTTTTCATTTAACAGCAGGAAATAATTGAATAATATAACATGATTTCACATTTTTCTGGTCCACAACCTGTAGTTTTTACACACTAGATGGTAAGAAAGGCTGAGATGTGAGCAAACATAAGATAATTTATTATTCTCTATATCTCTTTCCTAACCAGAAAATTAACTGACATCACTGATGTTAACAAAACAACAGTTCTGACTCTTCAAATGTTTATTGTTTCTCTTAAAGTTCATCAAACAAATAAAAATCTGTCGTTTTGCAAAAGAATTCAAAATAAATTATCGACCGATAATTTATCAGCCTCGATGATTGTGTATCCCTAGTAAATACCACTACTCATGAAAATTTAGTAGAGATTAAAAAACAAATTTGTTAAATAAAGTTTATTATTATTATATAAAATTATAGATTCTCATGTCAAAATAGAGATTCTACACAATTATGAGGTATCAAGTCAAAAGTAGGAAAGATTAATAAATTACTTTAAAATCTAAATTACTTAAAAATCTTGATTTACTTCGCCAAAATAAAGATTTACTAAATTAAAAAATATAGATGAATAAGAGTGTCTTCTCATCATTTTACCAATAAGTCAAATTGTTGACAAATTTGATTTAATACTTTAAAATCTGAATTTTGGACTCATCTGTAAAGTTAATGACAACAACACACCACCGGAAGTTGTCGGATTACCTTCAGATTAAAAGTGGATAAAAACGATCCTTTTTTGAATACAGTGAAATACAGATAATCATTAATATGTGCATAATACTACTTATTATTAGCGTAATACAAAGAGAAAACACAATTGAATAACAGACAACTGAGCTAGACTAGCATTATTTTTATTATTTTATTTTTAATATTTGATGTCAAAATAAAAAACCTGTTGTAACCTATTGTTGCATTATATTATATTTAACCCATTTAAGTCGTAGTCACAAAAATCCACTTTGATTCAACAAAACAACCCTAATTGACGCCAATGGCTCTAAAATAAATAAATAAAGTGACTTGTCCTGTTGCACAAAATGACAAAATGAATCAAACATATTTCAACATAAAACCTGGTTGGAAGAAAGAAAAGAAAAGTGGTTGATCTTTTGTAACAACCTGTGTACACCCACCAGCAGCTCCGTCTCATCAGCTGTTGGAGGATGTTGCCTCGGAGGCAGATATGATGTAATCTAACGCTTCAGTCCCAAACCAGGGGGGGAGACAGACAGGGAGGCACAGAGCTGGAAAACAACCGCACCACACGGATGGACCTCGGCTGCTCTGCTACTTCATAAAAAGAACCAACAAACACTTTCATCGAGCGGGTTTTTGGAGGTTGGTGGTTGGAGAAGGAGTCATGTCGCGGAGGTTTGTGCCGACTAGCCGACAAAGAGGATGCTGGATGCGGGCCAGCAGTAGAAGCAGCACCGGCCGGGGATGCTGCTGGTGAACTTGACTCCCCCCTCCTCCTCCTCCTCCTCCTCCTCCTCACATCAGCTGTAATTAACCACCATGGCTCAGGAGTCCTCTGCTGCTCCAACATCCTCCGTGTGAAAATGGCCCGCACTCCGCCTCCATCGGTCCGCCCTAGCTGTCGCCTTTTCGCCCGTGATGAGGAGGAGGACGCCCGCTTCAGATTTCACCACTCGCAGGGGCCTTCATGCTCGCTATGGATCATGCTCTAAAGCGGCTGATGTGACATTTTTGAGCTGTTAATTTCGCAAATTACACCCCTTTGCTGCCGGCATCGATTTCTCTTGCAGCGGATATATATATATATATATTTTGGAGCCGGGAGATGGGCCGCGTCCCCTTCTGCTGCACCTCGCTGTTGCCCTGCTGGGATCTGATCATGCTTTCCTGAACCCTGCTTACCATAATGGCTCTGTGACATCTCGCTAAACTTCAAATTGTCCTGTTTTTGGTTCTTCTGGGGCATTTTTTCCAGCTTTTTTCCCTCCCCTCGCCTCCACCGGCCACCCTGCAGAGCTGTGTCCATGCAGTAGTTGCCCTGCGGGGGGAAATGAGCAGCCTCCATCCCTCCAGCAGAAGCCTGCCCGCTGCTCCTCCTGTCCACCGTGTGGTCCTGTGACATCAGAGGGGTGTGGAGGTCCTGACAACCATAAAACGTGGAGACGTGGTGGGGACGTTTGCCTTTCCAGCTCAGGTTTAAACCATGGCCAATGAACCTGTCATCCTTAACGTGTATGATATGGTAAGAGTCCATCTCAACCAGAACTTATTCATTGTTTCATTGTGGGAGGTTTGTAATCGGACACCAGCAGAGGAAGTGAATGCACCACTAGAAATAGCAGGCCCACTAATACACCTGTTTCACATGTGCACTTCACAGCTATTTTAATGTTGGAATGCGTCCAGCTGGACTCGAATATTACATGAAAAAAGAGGCTGCAGCAGAAGTAGGGCTGCACGGTTAATCGAAATGTTATCAAATCTCAAGACGCTGCAATTTTTTTGATAAAGGTACAATGTGTCAGAACAGCATTATAATGAAATACTGTAGTGCTGTAGTGATTCCCAGGCCTATTTATGTTGTTATCCAGATTTAAGAAAATTGATTTTGTTAATTTGTTTGTTTGGTACAGACCCCCAAAAAATGACAATTTTAATAGTCTTTTTTACACTGAAACTTAAAATTGTTCCCACTAATCATTAATCATATCACACTCATTTTATAATGTTAACAATTGTGCATTTCACTCCTGTGGACTTCTAAAGCTGTTAAATGTTAAATTAAAAGGATTTTGTATGGAGTTTGGTGAGCACAGTCACAACCATGGTGTAGATTGGGGAAGAGCCTGTGCAGTATAGCTGCCCAGTGTATATGACCATCCCTGCAAACATTCATTGTGTTACGAGGCCAAAATCTGCTCTTTCTACTAATTCAGCCATTATTAGCAGCATCAATGCATTTGGTTTGTGAAAAAGTCTCATTTTCCAACCTCATGTCTATGAAACAAGAGCGTCCCTCAACCCTCTGACCTCTGTCTCGGTGCCTACAGCTCACATGATGCACACACATACGAAACACTAACACACGCACTTACACAAGCCCACTCACATCAGTAAAGGACAACAGTGTTCATTCATTCATGTGCCCACAGCCTGGTCTTCACAGTACAGCTGAACAGCCTGCTGTGTGAATGTTATGCAACATGTTGCTGTAAATCCACAGAATTACTCCATTTACAGTAAAATGTTTGTGACATTGTGGAGTGTATCCATACTGGGAACACTTTACTTCAACTTCCCCCTGTTTATTATTTATAAGCAGCAAACAGACTGAGTGCATCTTCATGAGATATTATATACAAATATCATTATAATAAGTACTTAATGTACAAGTTTAAAGGTACCTTGTAATGGGAATGGTGGACCCTGCCACTGACAATGAGAACTACCATAAAGTGAGGTAAGCTGAAGTAGGCTATATAAGGATTATAACTTTAACATATATAACAAATAAATACTTAATATTTTATATTCATGTCAAATGAAAAGACGCGTTATTTATCTGTTTAAACACCAACTACAGAGGCTTCATGGGAGGTGTTATAATTGTTGTCAAATACATGAATAATGACTTGAAATGTCCTTATATGTATTTAAAACTACAATGTAGGGTGTTATAATGAATGTACTAATCATGTGTGTACTGCTTATAAATGCTATAAAGGAGGGTTTGTGGGGGTGTCACCCACAAAATAATGAAAATAATTTGAATTAAACTTTATATTATATATATTTATATATATAATATTTTTATTTACTGAAGTTGAATTCTTTTTGCTCACTTGAAGTCACATTTGTCAACAAGTGTCCTCATCTTTTAACTTTCCTGACATGAATCAGCTTTCTCCATATTTGGAGAAATTGTACAAATTAGAAAACAAAAAATGAGTCTGTGGTTTAATAAACACTCACACACATGAATAAATATATAATCACACGAACACAAAGCCAGGTGCAGTTTTGGACTCTCAACTCTCCCTTGGTGTCTTCGAGCCATCTCACAGATGAGGACCTCGGTGGGGCCAGAAGAGACAGCTGCTCAAACGGCCGATTTAATTCCAGCGTGGCTCTGCTGTGCCGGGACTTAACAGGTCACGCAGGGGCTGTGGAAGAGGGAGAAAGTGATCATAAGGGAGAAAGTGATCATGAGGGTGGTGACAGTCGGAGTCAGCCTTAAATACTTCTGCCGAGAATTAAACACAAAAGTACGAGTAGGCAACAAGATCCGCCGCCTGAGAGTGAATCACGCGAGGAGGGATGATGTTGATGAATCGATCATCTTCAATGTGAAATCAATGTGACTGGTAGATGAGTGTAGTGGTGCATGCTGTATCTGCATAGGCAGGATGTTGTAGGGGGAGACTGCATGGATCTGTGCAGCAGTGTTGGCATGCAGCTTGATTTCACAAGAACAGCAACAACATCATTAGAGAAGTGTGACAAGATAGTGATTGAAAAAAGCTCCACTATTGTTGCCACTTGTTTATGCACTCAGGAGAAAGTCTCACTTCTAGGTGGAAGGACTTGTCCTTGTAAATTGAAGCTGATAACTGACTACAGGGTAAAAGTCACTCCAGAAACGTGAGAGGAGTCTGTTGACACAAAGGAAAATGGTGGATATGCTTTTATTATCAGTCTGAGCGGAAACCTGTTCTATTATTAATAGGGGACATCTGGGGCAGTGTGGATAGCTCTTAGCATGTTTCCTCAGGGGTGTCTATGGGGGTGGGAGAGTCAGTGGGCGTAGGAGGAGGGGAGCTTAAATGATCTCCTGATTGTCTGCAGTGAAGGGTCGACAGGGTGGCTCACATCACCTGCAGCTTTTCTTATGTGTAAATTTTCCTCCAACAATTGAAAGAGTTGCCCAGGTAGCCCAGCTTTGTCCAAGGGTAAAAAATCTGCCTTCCAGCACCTCTAAATTTCACTACACGTTATATCTTCTTTGTTTAAACTGTCCAAAAACCAGAGTGTAATAAGACCAGTGTCACCCAGAAACATTCTCTGGGTGTAAATGTTTTTGGGTGTTAAGTATATTAAGTATTTTTTCTGAGACATACAGTACATATTGTACTATTTAAGGCTACAGTATAATAGTATTTTCTGTAGAGCTGCTGCATTGTTTCTTCCCTGATACAACACAAAGTAACTTTTGATACTGATCCTTCTTTATACTCTCTCGTCCTCTCTTCCTCTGCAGTACTGGATCAACGAATACACTTCCAATCTGGGCATTGGAGTCTTCCACTCAGGCATTGAGATTTATGGCAGAGGTAAATCCCCTTTCCTTCCTCTTCCTTTATGTCTGTGAAATTAAATTACAGTTTGTCAGAGCAGGCCTCACTCGGACCTGTGCATCACCGTCTGATCATGAGGTCTGTGCACGGCTGCTTTCGCAGACACAGATCTGGTCTGGTTTTAAAAATGGAATATGGAATTGTGCTTCCTAATAACATGACCCCATTTCTCTGGGTTGAGTCACCACTGACTCAATGTGTATTGTGTGTGTGTGTGTTTTGAAAAAAGAGAGGCAGAAACCAGCGTGAAACTAGATCACTTGGAATTCCATTATATCTGTGCAACCAGAAATATTGGTTTTGTGCACTGTGGAATATGATGACAGTAAAAATACTTGCTCCTTACTAGGGCGAGGAATCACTCCTTTTTATGGAATTTCAGCATATTATTTTTGTTTTTGCAGCATATTTTTACATAATGACCACATGAATTTAATCATAATGGATTTCCTGTCCGGTAAAAACGTCCAACTCCAAATGTTTTGAGGGCTAAAAACTCAAAATGTCATAAATCTAATTTACATTTAGTGAATCATTCTGCATCATTTGAACTGAATATGTGCAATTTGAGAGGCCAAGTACTACAGTTTTACAGGTTTTAGAAAAGGGAAGTTTTGCTGATAATGCTTTTTATATACTATACTATACTGTATTTATATATATACCACTGCCCAAAGAGGAGTGTGTGATCCTTCAACTGACATTTAAACATAAAGTATAACTACAATTCTCCACCAAATCAGTGGTGGATAAAGTATTTGGATCCTTTATTTAAGTAATAATAGCAATACTGCAATACAAAAATACTCCATTACAAATTAAATCCTGCATTCATACTGTAAGTAAAAGTAAGTGTGATTAGCAAAAATGTACTTATAATGCAGAAAAATGGCTCCTGTGAGTGTTATACTGTATATTCTGGATTAAGTAGCCTTTTACTGTGCTAACTGGTCAAGGTTGAGCTCATTATTTTAAATTATATATATTTGATATAGGTTACTGTTGGGTAATTTAATCTGTAACAGTACATTGTAGTTTATAAACTGATCACATGTTTTCTATATAAAATCTTAATCTGAGAAGTAACTAGTAACTAAAGCTGTTAAATAAATGTAGTGGAGTAAAAAGTACAATACTTCCCTCTGTGGAAAGAAGTATAAAGTTCCATTAAACGGAAATAGTCAAGGTACCTCAAATGTGTACTACACTACTTGCCTAAATGTACTTCCCACCGTATAATGAAATCTTAATACATCTTAGTATAAGGCACAAATATCTGCTTTAACATATATGTTGAAGCAGATATTTTGTATATTTTAAAACATATTTTGTTAATAATATATTATTAACAAAAAATACTTTTATTTATCCACAACACTATATTTATTGCTTTCACATATGTCTGAAACAGCTCTGTCTGTTTGTTGTGACAATGTATAACTTCAAATTAAATTCAGAAACTACAATATGCAGTGCCTCTACGTTCATCACTGTTCTCCATTATACTGACGTAAATACGGGGGCGGGTAGGCCTGTAATTAGCCAGGCCTAATGATTTAAGCACAGTGTGTCAATGATTAATCGCTTGTTTCTGAGTAATTACAGTTGTTTAGTGCTTCCACTTGAGAACTTAACCTTTGTTTTGCATCTTTGTCCACACAGAATTTGCATACGGGGGTCATCCATACCCTTTCAGTGGCATCTTTGAAATCAACCCTGGCAATGCTGCTGAACTGGGAGAGACATTCAAATTCAAGTGAGTGCGCTTCATTTTAGCATACAATACACTGTGATGTTCTTAAGGTTAACAGTGGAGATAAGTGTGATGATATATATGTCTTTCTGCTTGCAAACAGGGAGGCCATTGTTTTGGGCACCACAGACTTCACAGAGGAGGACATAGATAAAATCATGGAGGAGCTTGGTAAAGAGTTCAAAGGCAACGCCTACCATCTAATGCACAAAAACTGCAACCACTTCTCTTCCTCGCTGTCTGAGGTCAGTCAGATGCTGCTTTTACTGCCAAATGGTTGTTTTTTTTGTTCCTACTTGTTCGTATTGTTCAGAAACTATAAGACACAGAACAGTGCAGAGTTACAACTATAAATAAAAAAAGTTACATGTCAAGAGAAGTTCACTTAAAGGGGTACTTTTACACATGAAGGGCAGGTTATTCGTCATGAGGAGTACTACTCAGCCTGTGGAAACAGTTGTATAATGTCTTCTATGGCTCTGTTCTCTCAACATGGGATTCAGCACTTCAGATTTTTAGCCGTGGTAGCTGGATGGCTCTAGGGATGGCAAATATCAGTCCACCACTTTGGTGCAGGATAAAAGGTCTCAACAGCTATTGGATGGGGACATTCACATCCCCCTCAGGATGAATGATAAACACTTATTATCAGGTTTTAGTTTGTCTAGTACTTTGGTTTCCGACCAAATACCTGCAAAACCTCCCATCAGCCTCAGCTGTACTTGCTAACATGCTAAACTGAGATGTATAACGTGTTAAACATTTTACCTGCTTAATGTCGTTATTGTGAAAGTGTTAGCATGTAGCACAGCATAATGTCTAGTTTTATTATCGGAAATGTAGGACCCAATGTTTTTTGAGACCCTTAACTTCATGGACCCTCACTGATGGACTTTTATGTATTGTCCTGTTTTATGTAGTGTATCTACTGTTCTGTAGTCGTTCTTTGTCTGCCTGCCCTGGGACAACAGATGCAAATTAGCTGTTAGGTAACTCTGGTACTTTTAATGGGGCACTGTCCTTGCAAAAATAAACAAATACAAATTTGAAAAAAGGATGTACAATACTACATTTATGAAATTTGCCTTTATTATATATTTAAAAATATGTATCCCTATATACAGGCATAGGAAATAAAATCATCCACAAAATAATGATACTTACTGATTAAACTTGCTGTTGTCCTTCTAGTCAAGTTCTTGTCCTTCAAATGTGTCACACATGTATAGAAATAAAACAAAGACAATATGTCTGATATCACATGTTCGGACTTTTCTCAGTTGCTGTGTGGACGGGAGATTCCTCGCTGGGTCAACAGACTGGCGTACTTCAGCTCCTGCATCCCGTTCCTGCAGAGCTGCCTACCCAAGGAGTGGTTAACCCCGGCCGCCCTGCAGAGCCACATCAGCCTCGGCCTCCACAAAGAGGAGCAGAACGAGTCCAGTGACGAGGACCCTTCGTCCCCGTCCGGAGCGGCCGCCACCGGCTCCTCCCACAGCTGTCGCCACACGAGGGTGTGAACTGCCCCACGTACACTAACCTCTGGACCTTCCTGCCACCTCTGCTAGTGGCTCAAGTGGCATTAGAAGGCTTGATCAACCACCTGACCTCATACTGTTTGTCCTCTGAGTAAAGAGGCAGGAAAAGAAGAGTTCCCTCTTCCTGAAAGGAGCTGCTGCCAGAGACTTCAGACCTACAGAGACCCTGCCCATCCTTTCTACAGACAACAGGATGACAAAGGCAAACTTTGACCTGAGCACTAAAGCGTGGCTCAGACTCAACAACAACCACTTGTCTGATTGTAGATCTGAAGTTTGTAGTATGTTATTACTCGTCTTTTCCATGAACTTTTAAACCTTTGTCAGCCTTGTTCCCTGCCCTGCCTTCAGAGCTGCTTTTGTAGAATAACTAGAACTAGACACCTGAGGCTACTTATAATGACATTACCAGAAAACTGCTAATCTGCTCAATTTCAACAAGTTCTCGTTCAATAACCTCAATGTGGCCTTCAGTTGATATCGTTGACTCCACTTTCTTTGTGTGGAACATAAGAAGTTAACTTTGGCCATTTTAGAGGGTTAACCTGGTTAAAGAGGAGTTGATTGTTCCCCCGATGTCAGTCTGAACTGGTAAAACTTTTGCATGTTGAAAGAATTTGACATCCAAGTAAACTGAGACGCATCAAGTATTCTGATCACATCAAGTATTTTTTCCTCCTTTTCCTAAAAGAAATGATCTATATATAGACGGTCGTAAACAATCATGGGCAAATACTGTTCAGTTTAAATAGTTGCTGTTCAGACAGCCTCTGGCAGCCCGGTCGCTATCTGTGAACAGCTCAGAGACACAAACACAAAGAAAGTCAAGCTGCTACACTGACAATTATTGACTTTGTGACCCAGTACGATTTTTGTCTACGCTTTTATATCCAAGTGGTCTTTATATTATAACGGTGCGATAACTTCCAGGCTTGGTGATACTGGTCTTATTACCTTTTTTCACCATTAAACAGATAAAGACAGAGCTGCCATTCACAAAGAAAATCAGTATTCTGCTATAAATTACAGTAATCCTTAAAGGAATAGTTTCTACATATCGGGAAATACACTTATTTGTTTCTTGCTGAGTGTTAGATGAGAAGATCCATACTCTCACGTTAAACATGAAGCTACAGCCAGTTAGTTTAGCTTCTCTGAAACAGGGAAACAGCTAGCCTGGCTCTCTTTAAAGGTGGTAAAATCTTCATAAAAGCCCCATGAAAGCTCATTATATATTGTTTTGTTTAGTCTATACAAAAACCAAAGTGTATAAGAACAGCACAGACTCCAGGAACTTGTTTTTACACATGTTTTTGTGTGATTAATAACAAATAATGATTCATAAAAAACAAGATTTTACATTTTAATTAGTACGCTTTATTGGTGCTGGTAGGCTCTTCTTTATTTTAACCCTTGGACAGAGCCTTGATAGTTGTTTCCCAGTTTCTTAAAGCTAAACTAAACAACTGTCTGAAGCTTCATATTGATCCCACAGACATCTAACTCTCAGCAGGAAAGTAGGTAAGTGTATTTCCCAGAATGTCAAACTATTCCTTTGAGACCATACTTTTACGTTTGATTTATTTCAACTGTGAACTAAACTGTGACATGTTTATAGATACAGAGCATTTTAATGATAGTAAAAAAAAACTTTTTAAGAAGTCCTTCTGAAGTTTGGTTTGTCGTAGAAGATCAGAATCCCATAAAGGAAAAATATGATGTCATAAAGTTATTTGTAGTCATTGTGGTTTTAGCATACATGCAGGTAAACAACCCCCTTAATGACTATTTCCCCCCTCGGATACCGATGATGGTGGTAATTATGATGATGATAATGATGATGACCAACATCGGCTCCCTCATTTTAATTCATGCCGCTTGTTTTTTTTAAAAAATGCAAACGCTCAGTAAACCAGGCCACGTGTGATTTGAATCTTTTCCCATCCCTCCTGCTGTAGTGTGTTTATGGACAGCTACCCTTTCTCAGGAAGGAAATCACATGACTTGTAATAGTGGCAGTCATCTCATTCCTGCTCAACACCTTCATAAATGGGGTCGAAAGTGCAAATTAATAATTTGACTTCTTCCTCGTGTTATAAATAAGCTATATTCTTTTTTATTTTTGATGTAGTCTTACATTTCACCAAGTGTATTGTGTTCAGATTTTTGGTATATTTTGAGTCGACAGGAGCTGTGCAGTGATCAGTATCCCATGCTCAAAAGTCTTTGGCACTTTCTACAGAGCAGACCAGACAGGTATTTTTTTCTATCGTACTGTGTCAACCTTAACCTTGTATTTCCTTTTCCTAACCCAAGATGATTTCAAGAATGATGATATAGTACTAGAATAAAGAGACAGAATAACAAAGAAATGTTTTGCTTCTTGTGTTGTAGCATAAACTATGGGTATGGGTGGGTCATTTAACAACATATACTGTAAGATTTTGCAGTACTTTTAGCACCTCTGGGTGTTTCAGGCTGTGAGCAGGACTTTTTATGACAATATGGGGATTGTTATCTGATTTCTAGCAAGTACTTTGAGTTGTCAGGTATTTCACTTCACTTTTAAGCCAAAAAACAACAACAAAAAATAAAAAAACAGGCATTCCCAGGTCAATATATTGGCCAATATCAGCTGTGTAATTGTCACTGTATATACTGGCCAATAAGAAACTGCAGTAGAGAAATGCTGCAAAAGATGTGTTTCAAGGTTTTTTCTCCTCCAAAGAGCAAAGACAAGTTTATTTTTTAAGTCTAAAATGTCCCACTTTGGACATATCTCAGTCACAAGTTTTAAACAAGTATTTATGCATCATTATTATATATCATCTGATCTTTTAAGACTAAATAAATAAATCCAGTTTCGGTCAATATCCAGTTCGGCAGGAGTAATTTAGTAAATGTAAAAAATATGAGTGTTTTTTCATTAATAAAAGGAGCAATATATAGAAATCAATATAATTCTTTATCAAATAGAAAATTACATTATGTTGCCAAAGCAGACAGCATCACTATGCCTTCATGTTAGCATAAAAGCAATATAGAGTTATCAATTTTAACACAAGATATAATATACTAGTAAAAAGAAATACTTTAAAAATGTAATCCAATACAATTATTAATTAAGAATGTAGTAAGTAACCTAATCCAAACATCACAATATTAAAGTAATGTGCCTTTTCTCTTTCTTTTCTTTTTTACAGCAAAAAAACAATTAAAGACAAGAGAAAATAAATAATAAGAAATATTTATGCAGTTGTATTCTATAAATAACAGAACAATG